TCTACCCAGTCATTTCCCCCATAATCTTAAAACTAAATTCATTTAATATGACATTTTGCCAATACATTATATAAACTTATATTAAGTTTTGTTTAAAAAAAAGATTGTTTGAAAAAAAATTCAGTAGCCAGTGTTGAATAAAGTTAACATTTTCACATATTAAAATGTATTGTTTAAAAGTTAATGTTGTAAGCAATTGTTTTTAAGTATTTTATGAGGTCAAGATTGTCGAAGTTGGCGAGTATGTTTGCAATTCTCGAAGAACAGTCTTTGTGCTACTTCTTTGGTTGTTGAAGCAAATTTCAACCGAAGATCTGATTTAGGTTGACATTATTTAAGCTCTGTTCACAACCACAAATTAATTAAACGATGGCTAATTCCTATGTTGTTTATCTTAAATATACCAAATACGCACAATGAATAAAGGTTAGACTCAAGCCTCTTCAGCCTCCTGTTCTACAGTGAGTAAAAGCACTAGCAATTGATTTACAAATAAATAATTTTTGTTTTAATTAACAATGCTTAAAAATGGGTGTAAATATATGTTTACAGTTCAAATGTGGTGTAAAGCTACCCTTAAGATCCATGATATTGTGCGTGTGTGTGTACGAGAGAGAGAGAGAGAGAGAGAGAGAGAGAGAGAGAGAGAGAGAGAGAGAGAGAGAGAGAGAGAGAGAGAGAGAGAGTCGTATATGTGCACTAACTGTGATGCGGGATGCGAGTATACATCAAAGATAAATTTAAATTTTACTATATATAAATAAAGTAGTATAAAAATAATGGGGGGGGGAGAAATGACTGGGACTATTTCTTGTTAGCCGCCTGGTGTTAACAGTTTAAATCAGCTTGTATGTGAGGGGAGAAAAGAGTAGATCAGTGTAGTATGAAGTACTCAGGATATAATATAATTGTATATTTATCCAATTACATCTATATTATTTACCTATCTAGCAACATATTTTTTAAACTGAAGTTACTAACAAAAATCTAATTTCCTTTCATTTTTTCTCTTCCGAGAAAATTGCAATAGTCTGCGACTTGGTAGCGTATTCTCAAAAACAGGGCACCTTCCAAAGTCTGGAGTGAGAACACTTCATAACTTTTGTTATGCAACATTCAGGCCTTACTATTTTTTGGTTCCTCTACGAGCACACAAAATTTCAATGACGTAGATATATTTCATTATCATATAGCCGATACATTTTGCTTAAAGAGTGTACAGTTTCCTTTTTTTGATATTATAACATGTGTACATATCACTTTATGTGATTTTGATTGGTCCAAATAAGACTATGAAATTATTGTGTAGTAGTCTCTTTACTGATTGGCTGCGATCGTGGGAAAACTTTCTTAATCCCGCCTTCGGGAATTTTTTGTTTTCATTGAATACTTTTGGCAGCCATATTTTGATTCGATTATTACTATTCAATGACCTGTCTGGAGAGAAGGATGTGGTTAATCCACTTATAACTGACAAGCCTTCTTTGGATCAGAAAGTTGCTCCCATTTAGAAAGAATTCCCTGATTTATACAAAGCTTGTGAAGTTACTAGAGCTATGACAAAGAAAGCTATTGAGAATGATTTCGATAAGGAAAGTATTCCTTTAGCTGACACGTGTATTGATCAGGCTTTTGATGAGGACAGTTTCACTCCTTGTTTGGATCAAGGTGATGCACTTAGCTACTCATTCTCTTTTGTTCTAATCAGGATGACAAAAAATCACTTGTCTTCAAATATGAAGAAGATCCTGAGATCTACTCTTTGTTTCAGTTAGAGAAACTGCAGCCACTGAAGTAGCTGTCTGTTATTTCATTAAAATGGAATTATTTCTAGAAAATGGAGACCTCCTGAGGTACCTGCTGGTGACGAGTGGTCAATGAACTATCAAATTGTAATTACAAAATTGAAGAGAGAGGAAATTCTTAGTCTGGCCCATACAACTCCTTTGGAAAGTCATTTAGGGATTAATAAGACTTATCATAAGACATTGACTTACTTTCATTGGCCAATAATCAAATGTGATGTTTGCAAATCTTGTCAAATGGTAGGAAAATTCAATCAAAAGAGCCTCACATACAACATGTTCCTGTAATTGATGATCCATTTAGCAGAATTATGGTAGATTGTGTTGGTCTCTTACCTAATACCAAGTCAGGCAACCAATCCTAATTGACCATAATGTGTGTGTTAACAAGATTCCCAGAAGTAATTCGTTTGATGAATATTAAAACTAAGTCTATGACAAAAACTTAATACAGTTTTTTTTTTAAAAAAAAACCCTCAATGTGGCCTTCCCAAATCTGTCCAATCTGATGAAGGGTCAAATTTTGTCTGGAATTTTCCAGCAAATTATTTATGAATTAGGCATTCAACAATTCGAATATTCTAACTATCACCATGAGAGCCAAGGGTCTTTAGAACGATTCCATCAGACTTTGAAGAATATGATTCGATCATATTGCTTTGATAAGGGTAAAAAGTGGGATGAGGACATTCATTTACTTTTGATTGCTGTTAGAGAATCCGTTCAAGAATATTTAGGATTCAGTCCATTTGAACTAGTTTTCCGACACTGTGCATGGACCATTGAAGTTGTTGAAAGAGAAATTTATTTCTTATCAAAATACTGAACTTAATTTTCTGGATTATGTTTCTAATTGTAAAGATAAGGTGTACAAGGCTTGTGAGGTCGCAAGATCGAATCTGCACTCTACTCAGTCAAAACTGAAATTGAGGTGTAAAAAGAACTCAAAGGAAAGGAGGTTTCAGACTGGTGATAGAGTTCTTGCCTATTCCACAAAATCCCCTTCAGGCCAAGTATTATAGTTCGTACACGGTTGAAAAGAAAGTAAATGAATAAAACTACTCCTGGGAGGCGAAAACAGAAACAACTTTTGCGACATTAATATAATAAAGGAGAATATTGAGAGATATATCCAGGCAAATCAAGCAATTAGTTTAGTTGTATCTGTCTCACAATCTGAGAAATTAATGAAGATATTCTATCGAATTATACTGATTTTGGAGCAACAACAAATCTTCGGAATTCGGAAATTATGAATAATCTGGACAAGAAACTTTCGCATTTTCAAAAAGAAGAGACTAATAAGTCCATACAGTCATTATTTGAATATGAGCACTTATTTCCAGATGTTCCTACAAGGACAAACATAATTGTTCACTACGCTGAAATGGTAAATTCCAAACAAGTGAAACAAAACTCAAACATGATGAACCCTCTCAAACAGGAATACTTGAAAAAGGTACTTCAGTATTTCCTGGAGAACGATTTCATAAGCGAAGTAAAAGTGACTGAAGTTTATCATATATACTTTCTCCGAAGCCAGAAATAACAACTATCAAAAAATTTAGAAATTCTTTGAAAGGCTCATTGATGCAAGTCTGACAATCAATTTTCCGAAAGTGAGTTCTGCCGTTCTAGTGTAACATTTCTAGGACATATTGTGGGACATGGTCAAATTAAACCCATATATGCTAAGGTCAAGGGTATCTCTGAATTTCACTGTGCCTGTCAGTAAAAAGCAACTGATGTGATTTTCAGTTATGGTTGGATACTATCTGTAATTTTGCTTCAATTTCGATAATTTTGATGAACCGCTGACAAATTTATTGAGCAAGAAAACAAGTTTCTTTGGACTGAGAAATATTGGGCGTTTGTTTTGTGTTGTTGCGTTTAGTGATCACAACCACTTACTTTCATCGACAAGATGAAAAACAAAAATCAAAGATTGTTAAGGTGGAGCTAGTTGTTACAAGAATATAATCTTGACATTAGGCACATGAAGGAAAAAGACAGCAGAAAAGATAGCAGATGCACGTTCCCCTTGTATATAAATATTTTTTATGTACACTTAATTCAGAGTTTTTATGTAATTTTTTACAACTCTTATATGGTAAAAGAAAGCATAATTATATAAATCTTTCTTTTTCTTTATTGAGGAAGTGTTACTTATATGTAATTTAATTACTGGTGTGTTAGTTTTAATTTTTTAAATTTCATTACATGTTATTGATCTGATATTTTTTTTGGACTAGATTTAACATATTCCAGAAAATTTGGTTCAGTTTAGTCTTGTTAAATTTAATAAATGCGCATTTCGTAGAAACATTGCTACATTGTGTTTTAGCTGACCAAGTTAGGTCCTGCCTTGATTCAGAATTGGTAAACACAGAGTGAAAAACATTGGTGGTAATCAAAGTCAGAAAGCGAAGAAGAAAAAAAACCATGCTCTGGAGAAGATGAGGAGTTGGTTAGAAGAAGGAAAGATAGGCTTTAGACGAAACCCAGAAGCCCTTTTAAGGGCCATTCTATAGCCTCGAAAAGATGTCTATTCTCAATTTGCCAAAAACATTTTAAAGTATAAAATGGTTCGTATATGTATATATGTCTGTCTGTCTGTCTAAAATAAACCTATGATATAAACTGCTGGTTGCTGACATCCAAGCAGAGGGGATACTTGGATGAGAATTTCGTCAGTTTAACTCGTGTCAATTCATTTAAAGTATAAGTAGGTTGCGGAAGAATAATTGTTGCAGAGACAGTGAACGTTTCCAGCGATGCAGGAAATGATTGTTCTAGGAAAACTTGAAAAGTTGTCGTCTTCAGCAGTGCCGGAAATTTGAGTAATAAGTTTGGAAAAATCCAATATATCTTAGTCTTAATAACGCTAGTCAGATCCGAAGAAGGGAATTAGCCGGTGCGGATACTGTGTGTGTGTGTGTGTGTGTGTGTGTGTGTGTGTGTGTGTGTGATTTTTATTTGTAGCTTAACAATTTTTTAGTCATATCGCTAAGATGTCTGCAGTGTGGCAGTTTATAGTGATGTCTAGCGCTAGCACTGTGACATCATGCCACAGACATGTAGCATGATGTCCCACCAAGTCACATTATCATAAGGCCGACCAGTCCTAACACTAACCTCTTAATGCTGAACGCCAAGCGAGGCAGCTGTTAGTAGCATTTTTAAAAATCTTTGGCATGATTCGGCCGGGATCAAACCCATTACCTACCGCATCCAAGGCGGACGCTTAAACCACTAGGCCACCGGAACGTTGTCAGATAAGTCGTCGAATTAGATAGGAGTGCCACCGTTCGTTGTCTTCAGAATAAGGTGTCGCAACCTCGAGCAACGATCCGTTTGGAAGAACTAGGCATCAAACGAATTACTCTCCGAAGAACTGACAGACAAGGATTGGAGTGTTGAGACTGATATGCCAGTAGTTGTGATAAAGACATTTTGTGGTAGCGATGAATTCGCCGTGGCTCAGGTGACGCTCTACAGTTTTGTATTTAGCATAGGGTTAAAATTTTAAAGAAAAAGAGTTTCCCCGGGTTTCCTCACTAGTTATACTGGTTTTTTAAAAAAAGTGCTAGCTCTACTTGCTAATTTTCACTTCTCGAACTTCAGAGGTAAATTGTAAAAAAAAAGAGCCGAGAACGTTTTTTTTACATTTTATGTATTTTTTAATTCAGTCATAGCACTTTTAAAAGCTGGTATTATCTAGTTTGGCAAAATTCATTTTCCATATTTGAATAGCTGTCAAGAATAGTGTACTTTAGACAAATTTTGGTTGATTTTTGGAGCACAAGGGAGCAGTCATTTTAGTTCGCAGTGTCCTAAGCTCATTTAAAATTTTCAAAAGTACAATATCCAAAGAAATTTCATCCACATGACATGAAAGTAGTATATAGGTATGCCAACATTCTCTCCACTGTGCATGTTTAAAATGCAAACAACTTCACCTTACATACATCACTCTCTCAAAAGTACATAATAACTGGTGAGCGCCACCTCAGAAATTCGACAAAAATGAGTGGAAAAGAAGAAAGGACCACCGTGGGAAGAAGTAGCCAGATATGGTTTGCTGGTGAAAAGCCTCTGGAGTCAGTAGGACTAGGTAGATATATCGAACGCCATATTCTGTCGCAGATGGAGTCACAAGACAGTAAGAGGCATTCACAGTTAATCAATTGTTCCAAGAGAAAAGAGAAATGATATTTAACGGATACGATTCGCGAAGTGGAGGGCATCTTTGCATCAGTAAAACTTTACAGAAGATCATAAAAGAGAATTACTGGGTCGGACTACAGAAAGATGTGCGACTGTGGTGCCATTGATGTGAGTCATGTCCTGTGAGAAAAGAAAGTCCCCAGGAAAGAAAAGGAGAGCTCCAATTCAGATGATTGCGTCATGGATTCCAATGGAACGTATAATTGTTGACTTAGTTTATATTCTCGTGATTGCCGACTACTTTACAAAATGGACTGAGATATTATGAGTGCCTTGTCAGGAAGCTCTTGTCGCAAAACTGATGGTGGAGGAAGTCGTCACACGTTTTTGTGTGCTACGACAGGTTCACACGGATCAAGGCCAACAGTTCGAGAGTGAGCTCTTTTGTGAAATGTATCGACTCCTTGTAATCTAGAAAACTAGGACAAGTCCATACCGTGCGCAAGGCGACGGCATGGTGAAAAAGATGAACCGAACGCTAGAGGGCATGCTATCTACTTTCGTCGAAGAACGACAAAGAGACTAGGAAGAGCACCTCCCATACCTAGCGATGGCATACCGCTCTGCAGTGCACGACACCTCGGGTTTTACTCCAATTTCGTGATGATGGGGAGGGAGACAGACTTACAATTAGATGTTGTGTTTGGAAAACCGCCTAATCACCTGTTACAGTTGTTCGCATGAATGGATTCAACTATTAAAAGAAGATTTTAAATTTCACATCGTCTCGCCAAAGATTACTTGCAGTGTAACATGCTGAGACAGAGGTGATATTATGATAGCAAGTTTAGATAGGAGAGATTTCAGGCAGGCGATCTTGTTTTGTTGTTTTTGTCGAAAAGAAAAAGGGGAACTTCGCCAAAATTTTAGACATTGTTGTATGGGTCTTACGGAGTCATTGATGGATTAAGTGACGTTAATTACAAAGTTAAATACAGTAGATATGGGAGGCCTCTTCTAGTGCACGTGGATCGCTTGAAGAGGTATTTAGTACGTAATGAAGTCTCTAACGGAGCGAAGGAATTGGACTCCGATACTTCGAAATGTGTTGATAAGGATCAAGGAAGCAACTACCATGGGGTTACCAGTCTTGTTGAGCCTTATCCCATCAATATGGTATTGAAGTTGTGACAGAAATTGTCCCAGTGAACAACATCGACAATGGAGAGTCAAGAACAGCTGGTGATGAGCAACTCAGGAAATAGAGGAAACTACCCATGAAATTGGAAGAATTTTATGTGAAATTTTTGCTAATCTGGAAGAGTGAAGCAAATGGGTTCAGAACATTTCATGCGTTCAGAACATTCCTATGTGCAATTCGAATAAAATTGGGAAATAATGGCGCACCGTTTTACTCAAGATTAATTCTTTTGTGATTGTTTGATATTGTGCTTTTATGTGATTCAACTGTGATTTTATTTATTTGTTTAATTTCTTTCTTGACCATTCGTATGTGCGTGAAGCACATAATAGTGAATTGTTAAACGAGGAAACAGTATAGACTTCAATTTGCGTTTCGTTAAAGTTTATGATGTGATTTTAAATGTTTGGCGGACTTTGTAGCGCCATCTTGGTCAAACGATTCCGCCTGGGTATATAATACAGACCACCTGTGGTGTGTTAGTAAGTGACGTAGAATGGAAACGTCCCCTTCAGTGTAGCGGTATAACCACCTCGCCAGAGAAAGCACACTTGGTCGTATTTTATTGGACAGGAGAGAGCCAGGTTAAGGAAGCAGAAAAAGATAGGGACAAGGTCTTTCGCCGACCAACAGCCCGGTGATGCAAGTCAGCGACCCTGCAACAAGGCTCAGATCAAGTCGGCGAACCTGCGAGAAGTCTGCTACACATTTGGCGACTGAAGCCAAGTCGGTGACTCTGTGATCAAGGCGAGGACCAGAGGAAGACCAGTCAATGACCCTGTGCGATCCAGTCGTCGATTGAGACCAAGTCGGTGTCACAAGCAAGAAGCCAGGAATAAGACGGTATCCCGCTGAGGTAGAAATCTCACGCTCTGGATTGCCAGTCAGCAGAAGGTTTCAGCGGATTATCACTCCTAATACAAGACCCATCATAAAGAATCCAAGATAACGAGATTCGGAGTAATTGAGCCGAGAGAGTATTCCGCTACAGTAGCATCACCCGAAGGCAAGATTAACGAGTGGAGACCGTCTAAGTGAAGACTTTATTACTAGAAGCTGAACGCGTTACTCTTGATTTAGAGTAATGTTTATAGTAATGCTGCATCCCAAGCATGCGCTAGCGATTTAAACATAGCTCAACAGCCAACGGATACACAGTTGAGCTGTTCTGACAGGGATTACAACTGAAAAAATAAGTGTTCTGAAGGATTTAATGCTCTGGGTCAAATGACGAAGGATTTAACTTACCAACCGCGTTGATCAATTATTAACGAACGGACAATAATCCAAAATATTTCGGCGAGAAGATCCATTCTAAATCGTTCTCAGCACAGTTCGTCTCCGCTGTTAGAAATCTCAGAAGAAAACAAGCGAAGATTTACTTGTTTGTTAAGTTCGAGGCATGATTCGGAGTCCGTAAGGTCTCATTTGTGGTTTTTTTTACCTTAAAGATGACTAGAAGTGGAATTTTTACCGGAAGTGAAAAGAAGTTAGAGACTAATGTTTCAAAGACTGTTTTCAGTATGTGACCTTTGGTTTTGTCAATATCGAATCTAGACAGAACCCTAAGGAGAAATTGTAGGTCAACGTCTTGATCTCAGGGCAAGTAAATACTTTGCGTCTGTTATACCAGTTACATATGTAACTAGGGACAAAGTTTTAAAGGATATGCACACAAAATGATAAAGCTATGTAGGTGAACCAGGTGAACGTTACCAGAAGCAGTCACGCGCTTTCTGAAGATCTGCTACTTAAATTTGTTTGCAGGTTTTCAGCTCGAATTGCTCTTATTAAAGGGTGTCCAAGTGTTTTGAAGACATCACAGGACTGTTGTATCTAGTAAAAACGTATCCCAGAGAACGAATAGAAGCAACTAGCGCTAACATGCTTTGGGAGTGTTTCGAAAACAAAATTCTTTTAAAAGGGGCACCAGAATCTAAGTGTAATTGAAAACAGAACAAAATGTATTAATTCAAGCTCTCCTTATAATTCGCAAATTATATTTAATTATGTATCTCTACGATCCAATACAGTTTTGATATAATATCGGAGAAAAATTTCTAATTAAAAAAATAAGAAACAAAGTAAGTAATTTTTATTCCACGACATAAAGGCAGGACGATACACAATTTTCTTTTCAAAAGTTTGTTCTCTCTCAAGTACAACTATTTTTAAGAATGCAGTACCCTCGTGTCGAAATATGTCACACTTTGTACAGTTTTGACCTTAGGGCTACTGGGGTTATGAACATGAACTTACGTTGTTTTGTGGGTCTTGGAACTCGGGATGTCACAAATGACATTACAGATGTCTTGGTTCGAACCAAAGATATCATATTATACAGGCGACCACTCAAGATGACTCGAATAGAAAGATCATTTTTTATTTAAGTAAACATCTGGTCATAAGTATACCTGCAGCTACTGTACAGATTGTGTGAATATTAAACTTGTATATGTTTACAAGAGCAGATGAAATTACTGCAAAGTTGTACTTTTGTCCGCAGTTGGAGGCAGTTATTGCGCAGGGTGAGTGAAGATCAAAATTGATACACTTGCTATACAAGAGGGTTGTATTATAATTTACCGCTTCTGTCCACTGGAAAGATTTCTTCATTATATTGTTGTTGTTGTTGCTGCTGCTATTGTTGTTAATATTCTTGTTCTTCTTGTTCTTTCTTGTTCGTCTTGTTGTTGTTGTTCTTTTTATTATTATTATCATTATCGTTATTATTATTATTATTATTATTATTATTATTATTATTATTATTATTATTATTATTAGTAGTAGTAGTAGTAGTAGTAGTAGTAGTAGTAGTGGTAGTAGTAGTAATAGTAGTAGTAGTAGTAGTAGTAGTAGTAGTAGTAAACATTTTTTGAAATTGTAAAGAAGTTTAAAG